GAAAACAAGTGACTGGTTTTTGTAGTACAGGAGAATTAACAACTTAGATTATTGTTCACGGTATCGGTCACGCCTTTTCAGATTAAGGACAAGTTCTTCAAGTTCAGAAACATTACACCCTCTTCCTGTCAACGTAATAACTACTACTCACTTCCAGTAGCAGCCCGAAATCTTCCTCTTTTATGTTGCAGTTGAGACCAGCCAGCGCCGCATTCGCAACATCGCCCATCAAAGCGTCCTGTGAGGTCAAATCATATGTTAGGAATAGAAAAACCACAGAGGAACTCACTTGCAAACATAGTGAGAACACTTTCAAGAGCACTTCTGATTCTGGGGACTTCATCACCATTGGAGAGATGAGTGCGACCTGCAACGGAACGCGTTATGATTATGATTTAGATTCAGATGATGACGAAGTCCCACCCTAGTCACAGCTATCGGGAGTTTATACTCGTCGTCTTGCTTGAACCAAATTCGACACCATGCATCGTCTTGTATGACGCGAGGATGTTCCCTATCATTAGCATTTCTCTTCAATAATGCTTTATTTCTCTTCAATGCCTCATTCATGCAGTCAGTTGGAACGAAGCTCCTGCTAGAATCGCTTCCTACTCAGTGGTGCGCCACAGTTTAACACGTTCCGGACCGACGCCTATTTCGCGTGGCATTCACGTGTGACCGCGGCCTTTTTCGATGCGAGGCTGGCGTGACACACATGGTGTGTCATGCGGCCACACGGGGCAGGTTTCAGACGCGATTTTTTCTCGTTGATTATTTCACACTGAAAATTTGCATTTGGAGGTTCTTTCACATGCCAATCACGAATATGACATTCATTTTTGGCGCTGGCGCCATTTGGCGCCACTGGGCGCCTATTTGGCGCCACGATCGTTTTTAACGAAATTGATGTAACTTTGCATTTGGGGTATTCAGGGATCGCGATCACGAATATGACATTCATTTTTGACACTGGCGCCACGATCGTTCTTAGCGAAATCGATGTAACTTTGCATTTGGGGTATTCATGGATAAGCGATCAAAATTTAAAAGGATTTTATTGGTGAAACGCGTGCTAAAATAACAAAACTTCAGCTTTAGCTTCAACAAGTTCGCTGCATGGAGAAACGCTACAGCAAGGGAAGTTGTCTTCTTCACCACTCTTTTTCAAAACAGCGTCTCACCAATAAAGGTTCAAACTCCTGTACACGATGAGTGTTTCTCCTAGAAGCACTCCAAGCGGAAGGATTTGCCACATGCGCTGCAATGTGTATCTTTTCGTTTGCACCGAGCCGCCGCATACTTCTACGCCAAACTTTCGCTAAACTGTGCCAAATAGCGCCACCTTTGAGTCGAATCTCAATATTGTGATCAAAATCATGTTGCCTTAATTGGATATGGTTAAACTAGCCGGCTTCGCCGGCTGGCCTCTTTCTGTGATACAGCCGGGCAGGTGGGGCTCCGCCGCACTTACCCACAAACATTTCATTTTTCACACATTTCAGTACCTACCTAGTCTCCGGCTTTTCTTTCATCTGAACGGATGATCAACATTATTTCACCAATAGCACCATACCTGCTATTTTCAACACATTTACGGAGCATGAAATGGTGGAAAGGAGCGTTGATCAAGTGGAGAGATGAGAGGAAAGCCGAGTATTGGTCCAGCATTTGACCTACGAATGCAGTAGGCGCGACGGAGCCACGCCCGAAAGGCCGGGCTGTATCACAGAGGAGGTCTGGAGGGCCTGGTGTGCTCTGGAACCGCTTGAGGAATTTCTAACACTGGCTCCACTTTCCTCAACGCACGCTCCGCCCACAACGTATGCCCCGCGTTTCTCAACTAATAACCCCTCGCTGATCTTAAACTACTTTTTCCCGGTGTCTGGAGTGCTCTGGAACCGTTTTGCGAATTTTTTAAATTTGGCTCCACCCACCTCGGGGCACGCCCCGCCCACAACGTATGCCTCGCGCTTCTCAACTAATAACCCCTCGCTGATCTTAAACTACTTTTTCCCGGTGTCTGGAGTGCTCTGGAACCGTTTTGCGAATTTTTTAAATTTGGCTCCACCCACCTCGGGGCACGCCCCGCCCACAACGTATGCCCCGCGCTTCTCAACTAATAACCCCTCGCTGATCTTAAACTACTTTTTCCCGGTGTCTGGAGTGCTCTGGAACCGTTTTGCGAATTTTTTAAATTTGGCTCCACCCACCTCGGGGCACGCCCCGCCCACAACGTATGCCCCGCGCTTCTCAACTAATAACCCCTCGCTGATCTTAAACTACATTTTCCCGGTGTCTGGAGTGCTCTGGAACCGTTTTGCGAATTTTTTTAAAGAGATCGGAAGA